TGAGAAATTATATGGCATTTTGATGATCTTAAGCTGCTTGCTTCCACAAAAGCCTATCTTTAATGCCAATATTCTTCAGGTGAGAGGTAGTGATGAGATGGGCATCAGTAAGACTTGGTTCAAGTCTTACTTCTGATACATACTAGCTGTGTGACCATAGATGAGTTACTTACTTCAATGCTCTAGGCTGATCTAAGACCATGAATTACAGATGAAGTATCAGGAGCTATCAGTGGAGTCCATTTCCACACCAGGAGTTTTCTACATTGACAAAAGCCCAGTAATGATTACTAACATTTACATAGTGTCTCCTATATGCCAGACACTATCCTAATTGTCTTATGTTTATTATCTCATTTGATTATCACAACACTGGGAGGTAGGTGCCATTATTATCCCCATTTTACAGATGAAGAAACTGAGGCAAATATAGTTCAGAACAGCTGTTAAGTGACTGAGGCTAAATTTGAACTTCTCTTCCTGGCTAGAGTTAGGTGACTCAGTGGATAGAGTGCTGGGCCTGAAGTCAGGAAGACTTATCTTCCTAAGTTCAAATCTGGCCTTGGATACTTCTTAGTGGTGTGACTCTGGGCAAGTCACTTAACCCTGTTTGCCTCAGTTTCCTCATCTGAAAAATGACTTAGAGAAGGAAATGGCAAACCGCTCCAGTATCTTTGCCAAGAAAACCCCAAATGGGGTCATGAAGAGTCAGCCATGACTGAAAAAAGACTGAACAACAACAAAAAACCAAAAACTTTCTGATTCCAGGCCCAGTGCTCTTATCTACTACTGTACCACCTAGCTTATTCAAACATGGCTGGAGCCTTTTCTGGTCCCTCTAGATGCTATTGCCTCCCTCTCAAGTTACCTTATCCCAGGTAACATATATGTATGTATGCATGTATATTTGTATACATGTACATATACATATGCATACGCATAAGTAAATATTTATATATGTGTTTTATTTTGCATATATTCACATATGTGTATGTGTGTATGTACATATATACATACATAAATATATTGTTGTTGTTGTTTGTTTGTTTTTTTTGCTTTTTGGTGAGGCAGCCTCACCTCCTGACTCCAGGCCAGAGCTCTATCCACTACAACACCTAGCTGCCCCATATATATATATATATATATATGTATTTTAATATACCTATACATATATGTGAATATATACAAAAATAAAATACATATATAAATATGTACTTATATGTATGCATATGTGTATGTACATGCCTCCCCAGTTAGAACATAAGGTCTTTGAAAGCAGGAATTGTTTTGCTTTTTGTCTTATTTTCAGCACTTAGAACAGTGCTTAGTACATAGTAAGTGCTTAATAATGCTTCTTGATTCATTGATCAAGGGGATAATGGATCAACATCCTGGAAGAAACAGGGATGAAAAGGATGGTGGTGGATGGAAGGATTCTTAAATCGAGGCAGGCAGGAAGAATGAGAGGATGGGTAAAGGTGTAAAGAGAAGAGAAACTGAGGAAGATTACACTTGATTCCTGCAATTATTTTGATCAAGTATTAAACCCAATCATCCTCTGAGAGATGGGATTGAAAATGTTTTTGGGACCATAGAAATAGTTGCACATTAGCTGGAGTACTGTCTTTTCACTCCATGGAGAAACATGGTCAGACAGTTGATTATCAGTCTCCGCAGGTAAAAAAAAAAAAATCCTGTTCATATTAATTCATTATATAAGAAACTTCCTGGCAAGGTCTTGTCTTATTTATTAAAAAGGCAGCGTAGCGTAACTGCTAGTGTGTTGAACTCAAAATCAGGAAGACTTAGTTTTCAGTCCCACTTCTGATACTTGCTAACTATGTGACTCCCAACAATTCACCAAACTTCTCTGGCCCTGCTTTCTTCAGCCAGGTAGTGTAACATGTTCAACTTGGGATCAGAAAGACCTGAGTTCAAATCCAACTGGCCTCAGACACTTACTAGCTGTGTGATCCTGGGCAAGTCACTTAACCTCCCGTCTCCTTTTTCTCAACTGTAAAATGTGGATAATAATAGTACTTTTTTTTTTTTTTTTTTTTACTGCAGCGTTGTTATAAGGATCAGATGTTAGTGATGAGTCATGTTGACTCTTCCTGACCTCATTTGGGGTTTTCTTGACAAATATACTGGAGTGATTTGCTATTTCCTTCTCCAGCTCATTTTGCAGATGAGGAACTGAGGCAAACCAGGTTAAATGACTAGCTCAGGGTCACCCCAGCTAGTAAGTATATGAGATGAGATTTTAACTCAGGAAGATGAATCTTCCTGTTTCTAAGCCCAGTGCTCTATCCATTGTGCCACCTAGCTGCCCCAAAGATCAGATATTTGTAAACCACTTATTGTAATACCTAGCACATAGTAGGCATTTAAATATTTGTTTCCTTCCTTCCTTCATCTATAATGTAGGAAGTGAGTGTAAATAGTAATTGTTTCTGTTCTGGCCAGAAACCCTGAGGGTCTTCGCCTCTCAGACTGATTTTTTTTTTTGACTAGGTAAAAGAGGCCATTTTTTGGCCTTATGTCTTACCTAGCTTTAATTACTAAATGGGTGTCTTTTTCTCTCTCCCCTCCTCTCTCTCTCCCTCCCTCTTTCTGTCTCTCTCTCTATGTCTCTGTCTCTCCCTCCATCTCTTTCCCCTTTCCCGCCATCTCTCTCTCTCTCTGTCTCCCCCTCCCTCTTTCTCTTCTCTCCCTCCTCTTTCTCTCTCTCTCTCTATCTCTCTCTCACCAAATCCACCTCTGAGCTCACACAGGTGGAAAGTATTGATCTCCACCAATGAGGACAGAGTCCCATACCAGCGGGCTTTGAGACTGGGGTTACACATGCAAGATATATACACATTAGATGGAAGGTGATGTCAGAAGGAAGGCCCTAGCAGTAAGGGAAGCAGGAAAAGCCTTATCCCACAAGGTGAGAGTCAGACAAATTGAGACCTGGGAAAGACCTTAGTTTAAAAAGGCCAAGGTCTCCCATTGCATCTGGGGCCATTTCTGGTTATTTTGATCTGTGTCTTGCCGCTGGACCTAGATGGTTGTGGAGAAGTGAGGCTAGTGACTTCGTACAGGCCTGTCCCACTGATATCTAATTCATTTGCAAATCAAGACATCTCCTTATTGATGTCATTGGTCCTCTTGGAGAATGACGTACAAACAGCAATGACAAGGGATAATAGTAGCTATTGCACCTTTCTGGATTTTTTACATAATATGTAGAAAGTATTTTTCAGACTTTAAAGTGTTGCATAAATGTAACAATAGTACATGTATAAATGAAATCACAGGCTCAGTTCCTAACCCTATAAAGGTCAGTTATTATTTTGTCTTTTCTTATTCTAGAAGTGAGAACCAGGTTTCCCCAGAACTAAGCAACTATTGTGTCATGTCTTCGAAGGATGAACAAGAAAAAAAAAATTTTGAGATCCAAGAAAGGAAGTCCTACAGCGCAGGAAGAATTGGAAGAAAGGATCTCTTCACAATCTGTTTGCTGCCCAAACAGATTCTGCTGAATTAAATTGTGATCCACAGACACATATATATATATACATTACAAAAAAACACATTTATGAAAGAAAACATCAAATGACATTGTCTAGTTGTCTAGCTTTCCTCTCCCTGGTGCCTAGAATCCCCTTCACCTTTGGGCTTCCCTGACTGCCCTCAAGACTCAACCCAAGTGCCACCTTGTGGGATGAGGCCTTTCCTGCTTCCCTCGCTTCTGGGGCCTTCTGTCTGAGATCACCTTCCATCTGATGTGTATATATCTTGCATGTGTAACCCCAGTCTCAAAGCCCATTGGTATGGGACTCTCCTTATTGGTGGAGATCAATGCTTTGCACCTGTGTGAGATGAGGGGTGGAGTTGGTGAGGGAGAGAGAGAGGGAGACAGAGACAGAAACAAGGAGAGAGAGAGAGAGAGAGAGAGAGGGGGGGAGAGGGGGGAAGGGGGGGGGGACAGGGGGGGAGGGGGGGGGAGAGAGGTTTGAGTTGCTTTGGGTGCTCCTCTCATATCTTCCCAGTCTTTCCTTTCAACAACCTGAAGTGAGATTGGCCTCTTTAATCTCTTTCATCTCCTTTCTCAAAGGTGGAAGCCAGAAGCGCTCTAAGTTACTTGAAGCTTGATGAGAGCTGAAGAAATCTCTCTCTCTCTCTCTCTCTCTCTCTCTCTCTCTCTCTGTGCCCCTGTCTTTTCTCTCTTTCAGTCTCTCACTTCCTTTCCCTCTTTTCCTCCCTCCAACTCTGCCCCACCTCTCACTCAGGCATAAGTCATTGATCTCTATGAGTCCTCTATGAGGACTCCTCTATGAGGACTCCTCTATGAGGACTCCTCTATGAGGACTCCTCTATGAGGACTCCTCTATGAGGACTCCTCTATGAGGACTCCTCTATGAGGAGTCCCATACCACTGGACCAGGTTAGCACAAGGCTCTGGAGGAGAAAGCAAGGCTGGTGACTGCACGGCTCTCCCTCACTTAAATCCAATTCACTTGTGCCTCCTGGCATCACTTTCCTGATGTCACAGTCCTTTTCGAGGAGGAAGGACAAACCCCAGCAGCAGCAGCAGCAGTATAGATTCATAGTTGTTTGCATATCATCCTCCCCATTAGAATGTAAGCACCTTGAGGGCATGGGCCATGTTTTTGCCTTTCTTTGTATCTCCTGGTCGTAGTACTGTACCTGTCACAGAGTAAGCACTTAATAAATGCTTGTTGATTGATTGACCCACTCTCCTAGGAAGCGTGAGTAACTTGGGTTCTATTTTAATCCCTGAAAACAATGGATATTACCTTCAGAAATGTTGGCTACTAGGATACTGAGACTCTCATGTTAGAAGATAACAGCCAATGACAGTAGGGAAGAATTATTGTAATTAACTCCTTCTCTCCTAGGAAGTACAGGGCCTGTGTCCCTGTTGGTATCCCAAGGACCCCAGAGGGGAAGATTTATATCCATGTACTAAAAAGGCTGTTTGTTGGTCTCACCTTGCAGCAATCACTCAACCAGGCTGCAGGACATGAAGTCAGTAGCTTGTGCTCAGGCAGCCAGGGCACAGTGTGACCTGCCAGGGATTAACAGCCTCGTAAACAAAACCTGTGACAAAGAATAGAGTGTGGTTCCTTCAGCTGACTGGGAGCCAACAACCCCTTCCACATTTCCCCAGGGTCAAGGTGGGGGTGGTGAGGGTGGAGGGACTGGGACAGTGGCTGACCGCACTGGAAATGAGGAACCCTGACTTGGGTTGAGTGTGTCCACGGGTCTGAGGATTACAAAGGAGAGAGATTTCATTCTCTGGGTGGTGTGATTTCAGTTTCATTTTTATCATCTTTTATGCCCAGCACGTAGCACACTGTCCAACGCCTTTTGTTTTTGGTTGGAGGTGGGGACTGATTTCTTTTCATCTAGACCACTTGTGAGGAAACTTTTTCTACCAAGGCAGATTGGCCCTCTTCTACAGTTTACAGTCTTAAAGTTGTTACCTGGGTCCCTGAAAGGTTAAGTAACTTGTCTAGGGTCACACAGCCAGTATGGGTCAAAAGAATGACTTAAACCTAGGTCTTCCTGACTCCAAGACTGCCTCTTTGCCCACTATGCCATCTACCTCTAACTTGGCACATAATAGGTATTTAAGAAAGGCTTATTGATAGATGGACTGGCCATGTAGTCCAGTTGTACCATATACCAGATGCAACAGATACTTAAAAAGGTGTGTGTAAATTGAGTTTTGTCATAGTTTTTTCTTTGTAGACTGAATGAGTTTAAATATACTAGGAAGACCAAATATTTAATGAAATCCTGTTGTGGATCCTTTGGGAAAGTGAAGAATCCTTTTGTAATGGAAGCTTCACTCCTATGTTTTTTAAAATCAATTTTTATTTCCATGTATCAGTTCTTTTTAAAATAGATCCCACCTATATCTCACTCAGGCCTTATAGAAGAGAGAAATTCTCTCTGCCTGTTCAGTTCAATTCAACAAAGATGAATTGAACGCATACCATGTTCAATATACTCTGGGAGGCATGTTGAACATAAAAAAATAAATCAGACACAGTCTGTGCCCTTGAGGAGATAGAACAGTGATAAAATAGAACACAGTCATAAAATGAAGTAAAACATGAAAAATTTCCAAGTGAGACATAAGCAAAGCATCAGGGTATAAGAGGTCAGGAAAGAAGTAAGTATTTTGAAGGCCAGCATATTGGACTTACATGGATATAGAGTTTATATACATACATCTAGAACTGGGGAGGGTGCCATGGGGGCAGTCCAGTCCAACACCCTCATTTTGTAAATAAGGAAACTGAAGCCCGAGAAGTTTATGTGTCTTGCTTAAGACCATCCTGGTAGTAAGTATCCATGGTAGGATTTGAACCCAGATCTTTTGACTCCAGAGTCTGTGTTCTTTTCTGTGGACCACACTGCTGCTTCTTAGTTGCCTGGGTGGCTTGGCCCTGTTGCTCTTTCTTTGAAGCCAGGTCCTCTGCCTTCTCCTCTAGCTCTTGCAAAAGCCTTCACTGATAATGTCTTCATTAAGGAAGCCTTCAAATAATATGTAGTTAGCTGAGTCTATACTTTATACTTATCACTATTAAGTTTGATTTTCCTAAATTTTTGTTGATGTTTTGTTGAAATCCAGGATTATCCTTATCTACCAACCTGATAACCCCTTCAAAAAAGGAAACGAGTTTAGTCTGACATAACTATACCTTAGTGAAGAAAGGCTGGTCTTTGTTATCACTTTTTGAGATATTTACTCATCTATTCTTTTGATAGCACATTTTAGAATTTTGCCCCAAATAAAATTTAAGCTCAATTGCCCTATAGTTTGTAGACTGTACTTCTCTTCTTTTGAAAATAAGGACCACATGGGGGCAGCTCGGTGGCACAGTGGATAGAGCACTGGCCCTGAAGTCAGGAGGTCCTAAGTTCAAATCCAGCCTCAGACCAAACACTTGACACTTACTAGCTAGTTCTTTCTGAATGGGTTTATATAGTTTGTATGGGCCTGAATTCGGTAAAGCAAAAAAAAAATAATTCCTCATTGATCATATCCAAATATATGTGTGTGTGTGTGTGTGTGTATAATATACACACATATATATACATATATATACACACATTATATATATCCACAAATATCCAAATATATATAATATATAATCATATACACATCTGTATATTTCTGCTCCCTGATTCTAAGACATCTCTTTCAGTAGGCATGTAGCTATGGACTCTTTGAAATCTATTCTCCCAGATCTGGGGTGCAAGCCAAATTGTGCCTGTTTTCCTCTCTTCTTTTTTGATATTCTAAGATGGAGTCTTCATTTCTTTCCAAGAGTCCAACCATTTCTGCTTCAGCAGCCAGTTTCTCCTGGTGGGTCAGAACATCAAGCTTAGATGTAGTCCCTAATCATCTGTCTTCTGTGATTGTGGATGGTCACTGTGTTGGCTAAAAGTTTTTAAGTCTTTCAAAGTTGTTTGTCTTTATAATATTTTTGATATGGTATAAATTGTTCTCCTGATTCTGTTCATTTCACTTTGCCTCGATTTATACAAGCGTTCTAAGGTTTCACTGAAACCATCACTTTCATCATTCTTTGAAGTATGACAGTATTCCATTACCTCCCCATACCACAATTTGTACAGTTATTCCCTAACTGATCGACACCCCTTAGTTTTCAGCTCTTTGCCACCACAGGAAGAATTGTCATAGATATATTTGTACATGTAGGTCTTTTTCTTTTTCCTTTGATCTTTGATAAGATGGTAGTGGTACTGCTGGGTCAAAGGGTAGATATAGTTGAGTAACTTTTAGGACATAGTTCCAAAGTACCTTCTAGAATGACTGGACCAATTCAGAGCTCCACCAACAGTGCATTGATATACCTGTTTCCCTACAACCCCTACAAAATTTATCTGGACCAAAATTTATCTTTTTATCCCCCCAAAAGAGAAGAGGATACAGTTCTTGTAGGATCTTGTCATACTTTTATATTCCTACTCTATACACACCCTTTATAAAACATAATTTGGTCAATCTATGTGCACCCACATTGTACCTTTTATCTTCATTAAAATAGCTTCATTTGTGTTTTCGTATTTTTATTCTTAAAACCTATCCATTCCTTCTAGGTTAATTTTTCTTGCAGAATTTTAGTCCACAGCATCTTAACTCTTCTTTCTATGGATTTTTTTGAAATCTATTCTCCCAGATCTGGTGTGCAAGCCAAATTGACCCTGTTTTTCCTCTCCTCTTTCTTGATATTCTAAGATGGAGTCTTCATTTCTCTCCAAGAGTCCAATCATTTCTATTTCAGCAGCCAGTTTCTCCTGGTTGGTCAGAATATCAAGCTTAGACTAGTCCATCCGGTCATGTCTTGTTATTTATTTATTAAGACAGACAGAAATTCCCTTAACTGATTCAGACTGGCAACTGCTCAGCACTTTCTAATCTCAGAGCTTTGCCCAGGGCACTGACAATAGAAGCAATTTGCCCGGGTCACGGGACTAGTATATAAGGGAGGCTAGACTTGGACTTACAGTCTTCCTGCCTCTGAGGCTGGCCTCCTACCCACTATATCACATTGCTTCTGCCTGTTATAACAGCTCATAGTTTACAGTGGTGTGCTGGGGTCAGCTTGAATCGGCTCACAGAGCCAATTGTTCAATTTTCAGTGTGAACACTTACACCATGGAAACATTACAAGTCAGGGCTTGGTTTGTTACCTTGTTGATTGTCTAGACTTAAGAAAATGATGAAGGAAATTTTGATAATTCAGATTAAATTTTAAAATGTCATACATTTTTGGGAGAGCAGGTTATTAAACATTTACTTGCACATCCCTGAATTTATTTAGTACTTTAAGATTGATAGGAAACTTCTTGCAACAATGACAACCAGAGTGCAAGTATGATTATTTTACCCTTTAAAGATAGAAAACTTGAAATGACCTGTTTATAGTCCCATAGCTAGGAAGCATCAGAGTCTAGGCTCAAACCTAGATCCTCCATCTTGGAACCCACTGTTCTTTCCACTAAGCAATGTGGCAAATCCATTTTGTTAGTAGTTTCTGTGATAATTTAATTAATTTAGTTAAATAGTCTTAAAATTTTAATTAGTTTCAACTAATGTATAATGCCTGCTCTTTTCATTCCTTTCTTGTGGGTAGGTCAGGCTAGAGACATTTAGCAAGTTTTCTTGGGTCCTCACTATTACAGACTCATTGCAATCCAGAAGTCAGGTAGGTGGTTCAGTGGATAGAGTTCTGGGCTTGGAGTCAGGAAGACCTGAATTCAAATCCAGCCTCAGACACTTACTAGCTATGTGACCCTGGACAAGTCATTTCACTTCTGTTTGCCTCAGTTTCCTCAACTATAAAATGGGGATAATAATAGCACCTACCTCCCAGAGTTGTTGTGAGGATCAAATTAGATAATAATTGGGGTTTTTTTTATTTTTTATTTTTTTTTCAAATTAGATAATAATTGTAAAGCATAGTGCTTGGATCATAGTAAGCACTATATAAATATAAACCCATATCTTCATCCTCTTCTCCCACCAAAGTCAGCATAACAGAGGAGTTAGAGAGAGTCTCTTGTGCATTGAGATCTTCGTTTTTCTGCTGTTACAAATGACCTTGAGTCTTCTTGGCAGCTAGGTGGCATACAGATCTTGGAAAGCTGGAGTTCAAATTCTCCCTCAAACACTACCCAGAACCCTGGGTAAGTCATTTAACCTAAATGGGGATAATAAAATACCTCACAGGGTTGTTGTGATGATCAAATGAGTTAACACATGTAAAGCACTTTGTAAAACTTTAAAGTGCAGGGCAGCTAGGTGGTGCAGTGGGTGCTGCTCAAGAGGACCAATTTCAAATCTGGCCTCAGACACTTGACACTTACTAGCTGTGTGACCGTGGGCAAGTCACTTAACCCCATTGCCTAACCAAAAAAAACAAAACAAAACCAAAAAACAAAAAAACCCAACAACTTTAAAGTGCTTAATACATGCTATTATTTTTATTATTTTGTGATATTCAACTAAATAGACAAAGGATAGACCTAGAGGTAAGGACTCTGAACTTCACCTGCTTCTTCACCTGCCTTTATGATGGCCCTTTGAGCTGGATCAGGCTTTTTGGGAAATTGTTAAGTAAGCAAAATTTGTCTTCAGTGACCCCTCTCCCCCAGGTTCCTATTTTGTGGCCATTTCCCCTATTTAGGGATATCTTATTTCCCTTACACCTTCATCACCCCAAGATGTCCAGTGCACTTTATGCTATCTTCCCATCTATTCTCTCTCTCTCTCTTTTTTTTTTTTCTTTTTTCATTTAAAACATTTATTTTAACAAACAGTTGAATCCTCGAGATGAACTCGATGCTGCATCAGCTGCTCTCTTGGGTTTGGGTGTTGTTTCTTCACGGAATTCATTCTTGAATCGGTGATAGATAATTTTTAGGTGCCTCATTTGACCAGTACCAGTGGTGTTGCGTCGCTTAGCCTTTGCACTCCAATTATACTTTCTCTTGCGTTTAGCAGGATATCCACATTTGCCACATGTTGACTTCTGAAGATGGTATTCCTTAGAACCACAACGTCGGCACAAAGTGTGCGTCTTATTCTGGCGCTTACCAAATGAAGACGATCCCTTTGTCATCTTCCTCCTGCCACCAGGACCAAAAAGAAAGCTTTCCATCTATTCTCAGACCCATCATTTCTGCTAAACTATGGTGATTCATAGGATCATAGATTTTGAGCTGGAAGGGATATTAGAGATCACTTACTTCAGTACTCTTATTTTAAAGTTAAGGAAACTGAGTCCCAGAGATGGGAAATTATTTATCCAGGATCATTTATACTTCAGTGGATTCATGATGTCAACCTTGTGAGTACTCTCTTCATTTCCTTCACTGGTACAGGCTGGAACTCATCTATACCTTTTCATCCTGTGCAGTTTTTGTTAATCAATTAATGAACAAGCATTTATTAAGCCCCTACTATGTACTGGGTATGATGCTAGGCACTGGGAACACAAAGACAAAAATCTTAACTGTTCCTGTCCTCAAGGAGTTTATATTCTATTCCTGTCCATGTTTTTCCACAGATCATCCATAGAAGATCCATCCAAATATGCTGGAATCCTTTCTCTAAGTCCTTTTACATTTCATGGGTACAATACTTATCCCTGGTTGTTGCTATATATCTGCTTCATTCCCTGATCGTACATTTCCTATATGATATCTCTTGTGAAAAAAAGCAAGGCATAGTAGACAGTGAGCAAGCCCTGGATTCTAATCCCACCTCTGACACATATTGGCTGTGTGACTCTGAGCAAGTTGCAATCTCTCAGTGCCCTAGCTAATGCTCTAAGATTCTAGTTTGTAGAGAAGGGGCTGAAGAGATTGGGTAGAGAGAGTTTCTTCATCCAGGTGTTGCCTATACAAATGAAATAAAAGGTCCAGTTTTTATCCTATCCCTTGCGACACCTTATGCCAAATCCATCATGCAACTCCCCATTGCCCTTTAGGTCACAGAGTTCTAGGATTTACAACTATATGGCACTGCTGGGGAAGGTTGTTGTTAAAAAAAAAAGTTGGGCCTTCGTGTCACAGAACATCTTGGGGATAATCCAAAGGGCTGACCAATTTTCCAAAGGCAACCCAGTTTCTTCCTTCCTCCAGTTCAATTCTGGGCCCAATTAAATTTCCATCTGTAGTGTCTGTCGAACACATATGCTCTGATTAGCCTACCTGTTGTTTGAACAATAGATATTTTTCATCTTTTTTTATTGTATAGATTAGATTGGTAGGTGGATCTACTTTGAACTCAACTCAGTTGTCAAATCTTTTAGCTAACTTTTTTTTTTAAAATAACATTCAAAAATTATTCTGTTTTTAAAAAAGGGAGAAATATGGAATGGAGACCAGTGCTTTCATATGCAATCCTCTTTTGTGTTCTGCTCTATGCTCTGTATGCTCTGCACTAATGTTCTGTGTATGTGTGTGGGGGGAGGGTTAGGCTCAGAATAAAATAAAATGGTGATTTTCTTTGATTATGTACAACATGGAATCGTTCTCTTCTTCTAGGTTTGTTTGTTGGGCATTCCTGGCTTTTTAATATTCTTTTGACATCGACTGCTTTTTCTGCTTACTTATTTTTTCTATCCTATATGGTGTTGTCTGTCTTCAAGCTTTTTTTAAAATTTATTATTAATACAAGGTTATCTAGCCTCTTATTAAGAAGAGATTCCACAATTTCTGGCCTTAATTTTTCTAATACTATCTCTACAGCATTTTAAAATCTTATAATTTCAGATGTAAGGATACCAATGAATGGATAGGTCTCTCAACTTTTTTCCAGAGGCTCAGAGCTTCCTTTCAGAGGTGATACTTAACAGGACTTAAAGGATTAAGAACAATTTGAGTGAATAGTTTATTTTCATCAACATGCTAGTCCTTCCACAGATTACCAACACAGTCCTCAGCCAGTATGGAACTAAGTGGGAATATGGATGGTATCAAAGAATCAACCTGGCCACCAGGTTCCATATAATACTGGCATTGCAATGATATGCATTATTCCCCAGAGTAATAAAGCTATAGTCATAACTAAATTATACAGAGGCCATCACTCAGTTGATAAATTCTTGTGTACTCTTTTGCAAATTTTATCTGACCTTCAAATGATTCCCTATATAGGACAATATTTGGATGCTTCATGTTTGCCAACACTTCAACTTCTCTCTTTGATTCTTCTCTTTCTTCACTGGACATCCTTGAGATGTTAATTTCCTTAATAATATATTATTTATAATCTTCTCTAGATTTAACAAGAATGGCTTTTCCAAAGGATCCTTCCCCAATCTTTTGGGTTTACAGTATGTATCCATGGTGCTTTTCTTAATTCATCCTTACACATGTGCAGCTGCAGCAGCGTCCGTCCTCAAGCTCTCTCCGAGTTAGGGCTTCTTCAATCTCCTGGGCCCGCCTGCCTCACTGCCCTGGCTCCTCAGAGTTCAGGCGGAGGTGTTGGCAGGCAGCACAATGCGTGCCAGGCCTGGGACACCTCTCCTGGACCCACCCACACCTACAGCCAGCTGAGTTCCCAAGCCCAGCTAACCATTCTTCTTTGATTTGTTTCATCAGTCCCCTTTTCTCTGCTCACAAAACCCCACCCTAATTCAGGTTCTTATCACCCCTTGACTAGATTATTGCAGTGGCCTCCTAATTGTTCTCCTATCCTGAAGTCTCTTCCTTTGCCAACCCATCCTTCACAAGCTGCCAAAGTGATATTCCTAAAGCACAATTTTGATCAGACCACTCCGCTTCTCAAGAAAATCTAGTGCTTCCCCTTGGTCCCAGGAATGAAATACCAATTCCTCTGTTGGGCATTTAAAGCCCTTTACAGTCTGACTACAGCCAACCTTTCTAGGCTTGTTACATAACAATAGAATAACAATATTATTTTAATATATTATTAAATTAAAATTCTTTAATTTAACATAACAATATTCTACATCTGGAATATGTTTTCTTCTCACCATCTTCTCTAAGAATCCATAGCTTCTTTCCAAGATGAGTTCAAGTGTTACCTCTGACGTGAAGCCTTTCCTGATGGCCCTAGCTTCTGCTATCTCCCTCACCTTGAATTACCTTGTTTTTATTTTATCTGTCTTGAACATATTTATGTGACAGAACTTTGTGCATGCTCAGACCACTTAAAATAGAGGCATCCATGTGGGAGATGCTAGGGACTTGTTTCTGTGAGAATACATTCTGCATTTCCTCAGGAGCCTTTTCCCATTAGCTGCAAAGATGAAACAGACTGCATCTTTAAAAAATACCAGAGAGTCTCTCTCTCTTTTTCCAGGTCCAAGGGATGAAAGTCCTCTTCATGTGAAACATAGGCACCATGATCTAATTTTAGTGTGGGGGAAGGGCTCCCTTTTCCCTCTCTCATTAGGCTCTGTGGTTTAAGAAGTGGTCTTTTAATTTGTCCTTTTCAGTTCTAGGCACAATCAGTAGAACTCGTGGATCCAGGAGCTTGAGTCATGGTGACCTTGGCATCAGGATTATAGGCTTGATGTTGGTGCCGGGCAAGCAAAGAAGCTCTAAGAAGACAGAGCTTTGTGTGGGGATTAAAATTATCCAACCTACAATAAAAGAGACTGAGGCAGAGCTCTGAGCCAATGACACTTTATTAAAGGGTCCATGGTCATCCCCTTTAATGAAGTGGATCTCAGATCTTCCTCATGATCTGAGATGTCCACTTCTTCCAGGACCTTGTATTTATAGAGTTTGATACTCAAATATGCAAAAGAGGTATAGCAAAATACAGAAGCTCACTGGTTGATAGATCTTGCTCTTGAGGGTCAAAAATGGCATGTTAGCAAGGGGATCATAGGTTGGTGAATCATTGGGCATCTCCACTGACTAAGTGGTCATAAGATGGTTACCTACTCATGTTGGACAAAAAAGAATGGTCCAGAGGCACAAAAATAAATTGGAGGACTTTCCATATAGTTGAGTCACTTCAGACACACTGGGCTTGGTTACCATGACAAGGAAAAACAAGGGTGGAGGGTCTCTAGTTAGCGTCCTATGATTAAGCAATGATCTTAGAATCTGTAGTTCACAGTTCTGGGGCCTAATATACAGAACTTATAATCACCACCCCTATGGAATCATATTCAATTGATTAATACTGATTGAAATAGAGTAAGGGTCCAAATGAATTATTTCTCACATTTGAACTTGGAGCTTCGTGAGACTGACACTATATAGGAATTGAGCTAAGTTGTGAACGCAATTCTCTTCCTTTCCCCAAAGATTAAAGGGGCATGGAGAGGGGAATAATATTCCCCCATGTGTTGGTGAGAATATTTGTATGTCTGCTTTTGTTACGTCCTTGAATTTAGGCAACTAGGAGGTGTAGTGGATAGAGCTCTGGGCCTGGAGTCAGGAAGACCCAAGTTCAAATCCAGCCTCAGACACTTCCTAGCTGTGTGACTTTGGGAAAATCATTTAACCTTTGACTCAGTTTCTTCAACTATAAAATGGGGATAATAATAGCACCTACCTCCTAGATTGTTGTAGGGATCAAATAAGACAATATCTGTAAAGCACTTGACACATAGCAGGTACCATATCAATACTAGCTAATATTATTCATCATTAAGTAAATACTCCTTTGTAAATACTAATCTCACTATTATGTTTAAATGGAACTGGGGAACTAGGGCCCCCTAAAACTGAGGAAACACAATTAGTGGGGATGTGAGCCAATAGCAAAGACTAGACTCTTTTTCCCCAACTTCCATAAAGGTATTAGAGAACCCTGGGAGAGGAGTGATATGTAACATACCTGGCCCCTAGGTAGTGGGGGCCAGAATTATCACTGTTACACTTACTTGTGCAGTTGTTTCTTCCTAAATGAAATATAAACTTCTTAAGTGTGAGGATTATTTCTTTTCCTCTCCTCTTGGTGAGTTGTCTACTATCCACACAGGTGGCAAAAAACAGATTAAGAATTTAGAGCTGGAAAGGACCTTAAAGGTCATCTTAGAGACCACCTCTATATTTTACCATTGAGGAAACTGAGGGCACAGTTAGATCAGAGAAGTTAAATGACTTGTCCAGGGTCACACAGCTAGTGTCT